ACGGCGCCGGCGCCCAGTGCCGCGACATGAAGATCTACCTGCGGGTGAGGGGACAGCGCGACGGGGACAGCGTGACGGGGAGGCGCTTGGGGACACTGATGGCACCGCGCGTGTCCCCATCCGTCCCCAGAATGAGACGGAGTTCCGGGATAAGTTGTCACCCATCGTGGTGGCCCTGAGCTTCGGCCTCGACCCGCTGGCGCCTGCCGACCGCCACGGCCTGCGGCCCGTCCTGGACTACCAGGCGCGCACGCGCATGGAGCAGAAGGTAGCGCCACCCGCGGGTCCCCCTTGTCCCCTCCTGGTGTCACCTGGGGTGACTTGGGGCCACCTGGGGCCACCTAGTGTCATTGGGGGCCATTGTGGTGGTGCCTCATGGAACCCGGGCACTCTGGGGCCACCTGGGCTTTGAGGTGGCACCTTGTGCAATGTGGTCACCATGGTGCCACCTGATGCCATTTGGCCACCATGGTGCCACCTTGGGCCACTTGGTCACTGTGGTGTCACCTCATGCAGCATGGTCATTGTGGTGCCACCTGGTACAACCTGGTCACCTTGGTGCCACCTGGTGTCACCTGCTCATTGTGGTGCCACCTCATGCAACGTGGTCACCATGGTGCCCCTCAGTGCCACCTGGTCACCATGGTGCCACCCAGTGCAACTTGGTCCCTCTGGTGCCACTTGGTCATTGTGGTGTCACCCTGTCCAACCTGGTCACCAAGGTGTCACCTGGTGCAGTCTGGCCGCTGCAATGTCCCCCAGTGTCACCCATGCAGATGCAGTGCCCCTCAGTGCAACACAGTGCCACCCTGTGTCACCCGGTAGCACAATGTGACCCGCTGCAGTCACCCAATGTCACCCAACGCAGGCTGGTGCCACTCAGTGCCACCCAGAGCCAGTTAGTGCCACCCAAATGCCCATGCAACCTGTTGCAGTGTGCGGTGCCACCCAATGTCACCTAGAGCAACCCAGTGCCACCCTGGGCAAACCAAGGTGTCACCTGGAGTTACTCAATGCCACCTGGTGCCACCTAGGGTGACATGACACAACCCAGGGCCACCCATCCTGGTGCCACCCGGTGACACTCAACCCCGCAGGGTCCGGGGGGTGG